GTGGTCTAGCCTGGAAATCGAAGCTTGGGAATCATCAACATACAGTTCATAGTTAGGGGAGAGTTTAGGGAAAGTTTATTGATCATATTAATAAGAGGGCCAAGGAGAGAGAAATCAGGCATGCTAATTTTTTTTTATTTTACTTTAAGTTCTGGGGTACACGTGCAGATCTTGCGGAATTGTTGCATTGGTACATACAGAGGCATGCTAATATTTAAGCAATGATGGAGAAAAAGTAGTTTATAAAGGACATTAAGAAGAAACGGGTCAGGTGCAGTGGTTCACACCTGTAATCCCAGCTCTTTGGGAGGCCAAGGCAGGAAGATCACAAGGTCAGGAGTTTGAGACCAGCCTGACTAACATGGTGAAACCCCATCTCTACTAAAAATACAAAAATTAGCTAGGCATGGTGGTGTGCGCCTGTAATCCCAGCTATTCAGGAGGCTGAGGCAGGAGAATCACTGAACCCAGGAGGCGGAGGTTGCAGTGAGCTGAGATTGCGCCACTGCCCTCCAACCTGGGTGACAGAGCAAGACTCCATCTCAAAAAAAACTATTTTAAATTTCATACGGAACCAAAAAAGAGCCCACATGGCCAAGACAATCCTAAGTAAAACAAAACAAAACAAAACAAAACAAACAAAACAAGGCTGGAGGCATCATACTACCTGACTTCAAACTATACTACAAGGCTACAGTAATCAAAACAGCATGGTACTGGTACCAAAACAGAGATATAGACCAATGGAACAGAACAGAGTTCTCAGAAATAATGCCACACATCTACAACCATCTCATCTTTGACAAACCTGACAAAAACAAGCAGTGGGGAAAGGATTCTCTATTTAATAAATGGTGTTAGGAAAACTGGCTAGCCATATGAAGAAAGCTGAAACTGGATCCCTTCCTTACACCTTATACAAAAATTAACTCAAGATGAATTAAAATTTTTAAACATAAGACCTAACACCATAAAAACCCTAGAAGAAAACCTAGGCAATACCATTGAGGACATAGACATGGGCAGAGACTTTATGACTGAAACATCAAACATAATGGCAACAAAAGCCAAAATAAATGAATGGGATATAATTAAACTAAGAGCTTCTGCACAGCAAAAGAAATTATCATCAGAGTAAACAGGCAACCTACAAGAATGGGAGAAAAATTTTGCATTCTACCCATCTGACAAAGGGCTACTATCCAGAATCTACAAAGAACTTAAACAGATTTACGATAAAAAGACAACCCTATCAAAACACCATTTATTAAACAGGGAATCCTTTCCCCATTGCTTGTTTTTGTGAGGTATGTCAAAGATCAGATGATTGTAGATGTGTGGCATTGCCTCCGAGGCCTCTGTTCTGTTCTATTGGTCTATATCTCTGTTTTGGTACCAGTACCATGCTGTTTTGATTACTGTAGACTTGTAGTATAGTTTGAAGTCAGGTAGCGTGATGCCTCCAGCTTTATTCTTTTTGCTTGGAATTGACTTGACTATGCAGGCTCTCTTTTGTCTCCATATGAAGTTTAAGGTGATTTTTTCCAGTTCTGTGAAAAGGGCCATTGGTAGCTTGATGGGGATAGCATTGAATTTATAAACTACTTAGGGCAGTATGGCCATTTTTCACAGTGTTGTTTCTTCCTAACTATGAGCATGGAATGTTTCTCCATCTGTTTGTGTCCTCTCTTATTTCCTTGAGCAGTGGGGTTTGTAGTTCTCCTTGAAGAGATCCTTCAAATCCTTTGTTAGTTATATTCCTAGGTATTTTATTCTCTTTGTAGCAATTGTGAATGGTAGTTCTTGATTTGGCTCTCTTTAAGTCTGTTATTGGTGTATAGGAATGCTTGTGGTTTTTGCACATTGATTTTGTATCCTGAGACTTTGCTGAAGCTGCTTATCAGTTTAAGGATATTTGGGGCTGAGGCGATGGGGTCTTCTAAATATACAATCATGTCATCTGCAAATAGAGACAATTTGACTTCCTCCTTTCCTAATTGAACATGCTTTATTTCTTTTTCTTGTCTGATTGCTCGGGCTAGAACTTCCAATACTATGTTGAATATGAGTGGTGAGAGAGGGCATCCTTGTCTAGTGCCAGATTTCAAAGAGAATGCTTCCAGTTTTTGCCCATTCTGTATGATACTGGCCGTGGGTTTGTCGTAAATAGCTTTTATTATTTTGAGATACGTTCCATCGATACCTAGTTTATTGAGAGTTTTTAGCATAAAGGCTGTTGAATTTTGTCGAAGACCTTCTCTGCATCTATTGAGATAATCATGTGGTTTTTGTCTTTGGTTCTGTTTAAGTGGTGAATTACATTTATAGACTTGTGTATGTTGAACCAGCCTTGCATCTCTGGGATGAAGCCTACTTGTTAGTGATGGATAAGCTTTTTGATGTGCTGTTGCAATTGGTTTGCCAAGATTTTATTAAGGATTTTTGCATCTGTGTTCATCATGGATATTAGACTGAAGTTTTATTTTCTTTTTGAGTCTCTGCTGGGTTTTGGTATCAGGATGATGTTGGTCTCATAAAATGATTTGGGGAGGATTCCCTCTTTTCGGATTGTTTGGAATAGTTTCAGAAGGAATGGTATCATCTCCTCTTTGTATGTCTGGTAGAATTCGGCTGTGAACCCATCTGGACCTGGGCCTTTTTTGTTGGTAAGCTATTAATTGCTGCCTCAACTTAAGCCCTTGTTATTGGTCTATTCAGGGTTTAGACTTCTTCCTGGTTTAGGGTTGGGAGGGTGCAAGTGTCCAGGAATTTATCCATTTCTTCCAGATTTACTGGTTTATGTGCATAGAGTTGTTTGTAGTAATCTCTCATGGTAGTTTGCATTTCTGTGGAATCTGTGGTTTTTTATTGCATCTGTTTGTTTCTTCTCTCTTTTCTTTTTTATTAATCTGGCTAGTGGTCTGTCTATTTTGTTGATCTTTTAAACATCACATAGTGAGGTCTGTTGGGGGGAACTAGGGGAGGGACAGCAGAGGGTCAGGAGTTGGGGAGGGATAACTAACTAGAATAACCAGCTTAGAAAAGAAGATAAAATACTTGATGGAGCTGAAAAACACAGCACAAGAACTTCATGAAGCATACACAAGTTTCAATAGCCAAATAGCTCAAGCAGAATAAAGGATATCAGAGATTGAAGATCAAATCAATGAAATAAAATGAGAAGGCAAGAAACAAGAATGAAGAGTGAAAAGAAATGAACAAAGCCTTCAAGAAATATGGGATTACATGAAAAGACCTAATCTATGCCTGATCGGTGTACCAGAAGATGATGGGGAGGGATAACATGGGGAGAAATGCCAGCTATAGGCGATGGGGAGGAAGGTAGCAAACAACATTGCCATGTATGTACCTATGCAACAATCCTGCATGTTCTTCACATGTACCCCAAAACCTAAAATGTAATCCAATACATACTTATTTTTAAATGAGATTTTATCATGGGACAATTCACTGTTGAAACATTTAGAAACATATAGGAACATGCTGAAACATATACACTTCCTTTATGGTATTCTTTCACTACTCCACTACCCAGCCATAAGGGCTTATATGTAATCTGTTTTATATATTTTTAATTAACTGGCATCCTTAACATAAAAAAAAAAGTCTGTGGAACCTCTAGGTCTCTTTAAAGTTTTGGCTAATTTAATTAGCAAATTCACAACTATTTTGGATTCCCTGAGTCTCCTTGGAGCAGCCAGTATTTTTAAGAAGAGTTAAATGCTTAATGTTTTCTAAAGTCTTTCTAAATGTTTTCCAAATTGAAACAAAACTGAATTCAAAAGACTCAATTTAGGTAGCTACAAAATGAAATTGTTTAAGATATTAAGTGTTTTCAGTAGATTAAATACTCTTTCCTTAATCCTTGGTTTTCTAATTGAGACCTATAGGACTTTCCTAGTTATGTGGTTCATAAGCTTAAACTCATACTGGGTTAATCTTTATGATAAAATGGTGTTCATTATAATATAATGTTTAACATTTTTTTTTGCTCGGAAGAATAATTTACCCATGATACTTTCCAAATTAAATATTATCTTTTTTGGTAGTTATATGTTAGTCCCAAGCTTTCCATTATTTGGGGGACATTTTTGTGTATATGTGTTGATGGATGTAAGTAATCCTTTATATTAAAAAAATTGATAATAATCATATTAAATTATGACCACTTATTCAATTTTAGGCAAAAGAATTAATTTAAGGTTAGTTATCATATCTTTAATAGAATTCTCAGCCTCAGATATGATAGAGAAGAGAATAAGCAGATGTTCTGAGTTTTCTTTTTATGTAATCATTCTTAAATCTCAGATTTAAATATCTGCAATGACTTGGTTAGCATAATGGTTAAACATTCTGCCTGTAACATCAGATATCCTGGGCTTCAGACTTGATTTCATATTTAATATCTATGAATTCTTGGGCAGAATAGCCTCTTTTTTTTGAGACAGAGTTTCACTCTTATTGCACAGAGTGGAGTGTAATGGCTCAGGCTGGCTCATTGCAACCTCCACCTCTGGGTTCAAGTGATTCTCCTGCCTCAGCCTCCCAAGTAGCTGGGATTACAGATGACTGCCACCATAGCTGGCTAATTTTTGTATTTTTAGTAGAGACGGAGTTTCACCGTATTGACCAGGCTGATCTCAAACTCCCAACCTCAGGTGATCCACCCACCTTGGCCCCCTAAAGTGCTGGGATTATAGGCATGAGCCACCATGCTAGGCCAGAATAGCCTCTTTAAGGCTAGGCTTTCTTGTCTCTTAAATAAGGGAAATATTGGTAGTGACTTCACAGAGCTTTTGTGGGATTAAATGAGATGATACATGTAATCTCTGAGATGAGCTTGCTTGTGCCTGGCAAGCTCAGACAGTACTCATTAGGTAGTGGTAGCAGTAGTTATTACTATTTTTCAGGCTCTACTAATAATATTTGAGTGTTTGAGAAGTTTTCCTGTATTGTGGGGGTTTTTTTTTTTTCCATAGAAACAGAAGACTCCTTGAAAGTTCTGGCCTCCATTAAGAAAAATGTAGCTAATCCTGATGACCTAGGCTTCATAATGGAAAATGTAGGAGTTCCATTACCCCAAGATATGATTCAAAGAACACTGAACAATGTGGCTCTCAGTGGTGAGTATTTAATATATTTCTAGGTGTCCTTTATCTTAGATAACATGATTCTGAATGTTTCAAGAATTCTGAAGAGGTTTTCTGATTCATGGATTATCAAGGTTTTCTTGTACCTCTGCATTCATCTGGGTTCTAGTTATTGTCAGTTGTGTTCTAGTTATGTTCAGTAGCAGCATGCAGTGGAAAAATCTATGGAGGATGAGTATACATACATGCATCTGAATGATATGTATGCACCTGTCTTTTTGATTGAATATATATCTCGTTTTCAAAGCCATATCTATAAATTATTTCTCAATATAGCAATTATAGTTGCCTGTTTCTTATATGTGATTATTTATTTTTCTATGTCCTCTGGTTTGCATTTTCTTTCAGAGGATGGGACAGTGAATTTAGAAGAGTTTATGGGCAATTTGGTCAATTCAGGATTTTCATCTCTACCTGAAAGTAAGAATTTTCAGTTGAATGGAGACATATAATGACATATGTGCTCTAGATCTCTTGGAAAAACCCTAAATAGGCTTTTGAGATGGTTTTAAACTTATTTAACACTAGATTATTTTCTAATGCCTTTACATATCTAATGGATAGCACAACTAGAAAAGACAATAGTCTAGGCTGGGCATGGTGGCTTACACCTGTAATCCCAGCACTTTGGGAGGCTGAGGCATTTGTGACCAGCCTGGCCAACATGATGGAACCCTGTCTCTGCTAAATGAAGATAAAAAAAACTAGCCAGGCATGGTGGTGTGTGCCTGTAGTCCCAGTTACTCTGGAGGCTGAGGCATGAGAATCACTTGAACCTGGGAGATAGAGGTTGCAGTGAGCCAAGATCGTGTCACTGCCCTCTAGCCTAGTTGAGAGAGTGAGACCCTATCTCAAAACAGCAACAACAACAACAAACAAACAAAAACGAAAACAAAACAAAAAACAGAAGAAGAAGAAGAAAAGAAAAAAGGAAAGAAAAGACTATCTAGTTGTGTCTTAAGGGAAAAATAGTTCTCTCTTCTGTCTAGTCTAAATACCAGAGTCTTTCTTTTTTTTTTTTTTTTTTTTTGGTATTCACTATTTTTAAAAAAATTTTATTTTAGGTTCAGGGGTACATGTGCAGTTTTGCTATATAGGTAAAGTATGTGTTGTAGGGGTTTGGTGTATAAATTATTTCATGACTCATGTAATAAGCATAATACCTAATAGTTTTCAATCCTCAACCTTCTCCAATCCTCCACCCTCAAGTAGGCCTCAGTATCTGTTGTTTCTTTCTTCACGTATATATGTACTCAATGTTTAGCTTCCACTTATAAGTAATAACATGTGGTATTTGATTTTCTATGCCTGCATTAGTTTGCTTAGGATAATGGCCTCCAGCTCCATCCATGTTGCTGCAAAGAACATGATTTCATTCTTTTTCTGGCTGCATAGTCTTCCATTGTATATATGTACTCTATTTTCTTTATCCAGTCTACCATTGAGGGGCATTTAGGTTGATTTGCTATTGTGAAGAGTGCTGTGATGAATACACACATGCATATATATCTTTATGACAGAACAATTTATATTTCTTTGGGTATCTACCCAATAATGAGACTGCTGAGTCAAATGGTAATTCTGTTTTAGGTTCTTTGAAAAATCACCTAACTGCTTACCACAGTGGTTAAACTAGTTTACATTCCCACTGGCAGTGTATAAGCGTTGCCTTTTCTACACAACTTGCCAGCATCTGTTATTTTTTGACTTCTTAATAATAGTCATCTGACTGGTATGAGATAGTATCTCATTATGGTTTTGATTTGTATTTCTCTAATGATTAGTGATGTTGAGCATTTTTTCAAATGCTTGTTGGATGCATAAATGTCTTCTTTTGAAAAGTGTTCATGTCCTTTTCCCACTTTTAATTTATTTTTAGTTTTTTAATACTTAACTTTTGTGGGTACATGGTAGGTGTATTTACTTATGCAATACATGGGATGCTTTGATACAGGCATGCAATGTGAAATAATCACATCATGGAAAATGGGGTACCAATTCCCTCAAGCATCTTTTCTTTGTGTTACAAACAACCCAATTCCACTTTTTAGTTATTTTAAAATATATACCATTAAGTTATTATTGACTATAGTCACCCTGTTTTGCTATCAAATAGTAGGTCCTGTTCATTCAATTTTTTTGCTATCCATTAGCCATCCCTACTCCCAACCCTCCCACTATCCTACCCAGCCTCTGGTAACCATCTTTCTACTTTCTGTGTTCATGAGTTCAATTGTTCCAATGTTTAGATTCCACAAATAAGTAAGAACATGTGATGCTTGTCTTTATGTGCCTGGATTATTTCACTTAACATAATGACCTTCATTTCCATCCATGTTATTGCAAATGACAGGATCTCATTCTTTTTAACAGCTGAATATTACTTCATGCATATAAGTACCACATTTTCTGTATCCATTCATCTGTTGATGGACACTTAGGTTGCTTCCAAATGTGAGCAGTGCTGCAACAAACATAGGCGTACAGATGTCTCTTCACTATACTGATTTTCTTTCTTTTGGATGTATATTCATCAGTGGGATTGCTAGATCATATGGTAGCTAAATATTTAGTTTTTTAAGGAACCTCTCAACTGTTCTCCATAGTGGTTGTGCTAATTTACATTCCCACTAACAGTGTACAAGGGTTCCCTTTATGCCAGGCTTTGTTATTTCTTTTATTTTAGATATAAGCCATTTTAGCTGGGGTAAGATAACTCATTGTAATTTTGATTTGCACATCTGTGATGATCAATGATGTTGAGCACTTTTTCATATGCCTGTTTGCTATTTGTATGTCTTCTTTTGAGAAATGTCTGTTCAAATCTTTTGCCCATTTTTTGATTGGATTATTTGATTTTTTTTTCCTGTAGATTTAGGAAACTCCTTATATATTCTGGTTATTAATCTATTGTCAGCGGATAGTTTGCAAATACTTTCTCCCATTCTGAGGATTGTCTCTTCACTTTGTTGATTGTTTCCTTTCAATGCAGAAGCTTTTAAACTTGATGTGATCACATTTATCCATTTTTACTTTGATTTTCTGTGCTCGTGGGATTTGCTTAAGAAAATTTTGCCCAAATTAATGTCCTGGAGATTTTTCCCACTGTTTTCTTGTAGTAGCTTGATAGTTTGAAATCTTAGATTTTAGTCTTTAATCCATCTTGATTTGACTTTTGTATATGGCAAGAGATAGAGGCCTAGTTTCATTCTTCGGCATATAGATAACCAGTTTTCTCAGCACCATTTATTGAAGAGACTGTCTTTCCCTCAGTGTATGTTCTTGGCACCTTTGCTAAAAATGAGTTCACTGTAGGTGCGAGGATTTGTTTCTGGGTTCTCTGTTCTGCTCCATTGGTCTATGTGTTTGTTTTTATGCCAGTACCATTCTATTTTGGTTACTATAGCTCTGTAGTATAATTTGAAATCGGGTAATGTGCTTCTTCCAGTTTTGTTCTTTTTGCTTAGGTTAGCTCTTTAGCTATTCTGGGTGTTTGTGGTTGCATATAAATTTTAGAAATTTATTTTCTATTTCTGTGAAGAATGTCATGGTTATTTTGATAGAGATTGCATAGAATCTGTAGATTCCTTTGGGTAGTACAGACATTTTAACAATATTGATTCTTCTAATTCATGGCCATAAAATACTTTTCCAGTTTTTGGTGTCGTCTTCAATTTTTTCATCAGTGTTTTATAGTTTTCATCATAGAGATTTATCAGGTCTTTGGTTAAGTTAATTCCTAGGTATTAAATTTTATCTGTGGCTACTATAAATGGGATTACATTTTTTATTTCTTTTTCACATTGTTCACTGTTGGTATATAGAAATGCCACTGACTTTTGTATGTTAGTTTTGTATCCCGCAACTTTACTGAATAGTTTTTTGGTGGAGTCTTTAGGTTTTTTCAAATATAAGATCATATTATCTGCAAACAAGTATAATTTGACTTCTTCCCAATTTGGATGCCTTTTATTTCTTTCTCTCATCTGATTACTGTACCTAAGACTTCTAGTACCATGCTGAATATAGCAGTGGCAGTAGGCATACTTGTCATGTACTAGATCTTAAAGGAAAAGCTTTCATGTTTTCTCCATTCAGTATGATACTAGCTGTGGGTCTGTTGTATATGACTTTTATTATGTATAAAAGAAGTATGTTTCTTTTATACAAAATTTTTTAGGGTTTTTATCATGAAGAATGTTGAGTTTTATCAAATGCTTTTTCAGCATCAATTGAAATGATCAAATGGTTTTTATCCTTTATGTTGTTGATATGATGTATAACATTAATTGAGTTGTATATGTTGGACGATCCATGCTTCCCAGAAATCAATCCCACTTGATCATGATGAGTGATCTTTCTAATGTATTGTTGAATTCAGTTTTAGTATTTTGTTGAGGATTTTTGCATCAGCAATCATCAGAGATACTGACTTGTAGTTTTTTTTTTTTTTTCCATGTGTTTTTTGTCTGGTTTTGGTATCAGGGTAATTCTGGTCTTGAAAAATGAGTTTGGAAGTATTCTCTTGTCCTCTATATTTTTCAGAATATTTTGAGTAGGATTGGTGTTATTTCTTCTGTAAATGTTTGGTATGATTCAGCAGTGAAGCCATCAGGTTCTGTGCTTTTCTTTTCTAGGAGACTTTTTGTTAGGTCTTCAATCTTGTTACATATTACTGATTGCTTCAGATTTTGGAGTTCTTCCCAGTTCAATCTTGGAAGATTTTATGTGCCCAGAAATTTGTTCATTTCTTCTAGGCTTTCCAATTTATTGACATATAATTGGTCATAGTAGCCTCTAATGATCCTTTGAATTTCTGCAGCATAAATTGTAATGACTCCTTTTTCTCTTCTGATTTTATTTGTTTGTGTCTTTGTTTTTTTCTTAGTTAGTCTGGATAAAGGTTGTCAGTTTGGTTTAACTTTTCAAAATGCCAACTTTTTGTTTCATTTATCTTTTGTATTTTTTATTTTAATTTTATTTGTTTCTGCTCTGATCTTTATTATTTCTTTTCTTCTACAAATTTTGAATTTGTCTTTCTCTTGCTTTTCTAGTTTTTTTTAAGATGCTTTGTTAGATTATTTATTTGAATTTTTTTGTCTTTTCTCATGTAGGTACTTAATGGCTATTAACTTCCATCTTAGGGCTGCTTTTGCTGTATCCCATAGGTTGTAGTATGTTGTGTTTCCTTTATCATTTGTTTCAATAAACTTTTAAATTTTCTTCTTAGTGTCTTCATTAACCTACTAGTCATGTAGGAGCGTACTGTTTAATTTCCATGTATTTGTGTAGTTTCCAGAATTTCTCTTGTTATTAATTTCTAATTTTATTCCACTGTGATCAGAGAAGCTGTTGGATATTATTTCAATTTTTATTTCTATTTATTTATTCATTTTTTTGAGCCTGAGTTTCACTCTCTC